CGAAATGGGAATCGCTGATGGATCAAAACAAGTTGCAAGTTGTAATACCAAGAAGTAGAACGACCGAAATCCTTGATGAAATGCATGGCGGCCCTTCTGGGGGACATTTAGGAGTGAACAAGACCCTTGACAAAATACGAGAAGGATTCTACTGGCTTCACGTTAGAGAAGATGTAGAGAGCTGGTGTCGAAAATGTAACACATGCGCTTCAGTCAAAGGACCCAAAAGAAGGCTAAAAGGAGCAATGCAAATCTACAATGTTGGTGTCCCCTTTAAACGGATTGCTATAGATATCAGATTATGGAAACCGTTACATTCTGGTAGTAGCAGACTATTTCAGCAAATGGCCTGAGGTGTTTCCAATACCCAACCAAGAAGCATGTACCGTCGCTGAGGAAATTGTACTCAATTGGATTAGTCGATATGGTGTCCCATTGGAACTCCACTCAGATCAAGGTCGAAATTTTGAGTCACAACTGTTTGGTGAAATGTGCAAGCTGCTGGGTATAAACAAAACTCGAACAACACTTCTTCACCCACAGTCTGACGGTATGGTGGAACGATTTAACCAAACCCTGATTGAACATCTGGCTAAAGTAGTCGACGAAAATCAACGGGATTGGGATCGTCATATACCATTGTTTCTTATGGCATACCGGAGTGCTATCCACACAACTACTGGAGAAACGCCATCAAAAGTTCTGTTTGGGACTACCTTAAGAACTCCAGCTGATGTGAAATATGGCGTACTACCTGAACCACACCAACCATTAACAGAATACGTGGATAATCTTCGACAGCAATTAAACCAAATCCACCGTTACGTACGCCTTAAAATTATGAAAAACGCGGAGGCGGCCAAAACCAGATACGACTTGAAAGGAAGCAGAGGCGGTTTTGCTGTCGACGAGTTAGTTTGGCTGTACAACCCACAGCGAAAGAAAGGACGTTCTCCAAAGCTCCAGCGAAGGTGGGAAGGACCTTATCAAGTCATCACCCGCTTGAATGACGTCGTCTACCGTCAAGAGAGCAAGAATGAAGATCGTTCATTTGGATAGACTGGCTCCGTACCATGCGGACACCGGAACGAAAGCTGTTCGGGACGAACAGAACTAAGAAGGGGGTAATGTTATAACCGTGCTACCGAACGCACTAGATTCTAGCGTATTCTGGAATGTTCTAGTGACTGGAGCATTCTAGAGTATGCTAGAATCGGACAATCTAGAAGGATCTAGAAACGACGCTTGCGAAGAGTATATTAGTTATAAGCGCACGTCGTAAGAAATCTGTGATTAGTGATATTCGTGATTAGTGATATTCGTGATTAGTGATATTCGTGATTAGTGATATTCGTGATTAGTGATATTCGTGATTAGTGATATTCGTGATTAGTGATATTCGTGATTAGTGATATTCGTGATTACTGAAATTCGTGATTTTGTGAATAGCGATTCGGTGAATTATTTAAAGCGATATTTGATTTGTTTGTTGACGTTGTCATAGCGATAGATTTTGAACGATTTAAAAGTTAATTGTTGCGTTAGTTTGAATTTACTGGAAATAAACGATTAGTTGATTTCTTCTGTAAATAAAGTTTAATAACTAATAATAGTTGATTTCTTCTGTAAATAAAGTTTAATAACTGTTTGGAATATTTTATTCAATCGAGGATTTGAACCCGTCGCATCGTAAATCGGTTACGACAGCGAGAATTATAACAATATATATAAGTCTGTGGTAGTTGGTGTATTTTTTTTGTATGTAGTCAAAATATAGGATCACAGTTTCATGGCTAGATTTGTTAAATAAACGACCAATCTGTTCATTGATGATATATTTCTGAGTTAGTATAAAAAATTAAAATATTTGAAATTACATTACAAAATACATAAAATGACAAACATACCCGCAAGAGCAAACACAGCGAGGACAGCGATGAGAAGAAGAGATCGGAACATCGTGAAATTTCAACGTTGAAATGTATCGGCCACATAGCTTTATTTATACCAAAAATTTCACATATTCAACATAAAAAATTAATAAAATTTTTTACTCATTTCAAAAACACGTTGTGCATTTGATGATCTGTTAATTGTGATATATTGGGGGTGTTAAATTAAGCGTGACCGTGAATGATCATTTAAAATTTCCATGCAGGCAAACATATGCACACAAATATATGTAAATGTTGGTAATAGACCATGATTTTTACAATATTCTATAAATTCTAGCAAATGTTTGGCGTTAAATTCGGCAGAATTTTAGAAAACGCCAAACATTCGGTG